TTCACCGAGGAGTGCCCCCTTTGGATCCCTTCTTGCAAGGCAGCTAGCATCGACACTAATCGGAGTTCCGAAATGGATCCTATTATGTTGAACCCCGCATTCAGTTCCAGAAGGGCGTTCTTTGGAGCCCCGGTTGAAAATGGGGGGCCACCAAAGAGCCTCTATGACAAAGAGTCGGTTCTTGTCTCTCCGAACAGTGTTTCGTGTTTGGGCAACAATAGCCACACTTGAGAATGTGTCTGGAGACTGTCTTTGTGTGTGTGTGTGTGTTTGTGTCTGTGGTTGTATTTGTCTGATTTTGTTGTTCTGTACGTTTGTGTTTCTTGTTGCTGTGTTGGTGTATGTGTGTGTGTGTGCGCGTGTGCACGTGCCTCCCCCCACCTGTTTGTTGTCCCATCGGAGCCAACTTGGATCAACGCTGACATCTTGCATTTGTGCCCCAAAGTTAGTACCAGCTCAAATGCTTAGCATTGCCCAGCTGTACAAGTTTCGTATAAAGCAAAGCAAGGCTAGGTGAGGGCAACATATGCAAGACTTGGTGGCTTCCAGCCATCCGGTTCCTTAGCTTTTCAAACCTTATAGTGTTTAGTGGTGGTTTCCATTTGGCCCACTAAAAGTTAAACTTTTCGCGGGGGATCTGAAAACGGGCAGCCCAGAAAACTTCCCTGCTCGGAAACCCTCCGGCGGGTTGCCGTCATCAGCTTAGGAGCCTGGCGTGAAGCTCACCCTGCAGCGCCCGGCCACGATTTACGTGGCCCTCAGCAAGCCGCCCAACGAGGACGGAGCCGAGTCGCGAGTCGCGAGTCGCAAGCGGCTTTTAGTAAAAGCACCTCCAATGGCCATGGGTCAAAACCCCGGTTGTCCCCCCAGTGAACATCCCAATCCCCACCAAGATAGGTCTTAAAATGGGCGGTGAATTCGCCTGCCCCAAAATGGTACCATTGGTTTTGACCCACAGCCATATGTGTGTCGTTGCCAGGGTGCCAGGGCGTCCTGAAAAACATGTTGTGCATAAGCCGCTTGACTTATTTTTCCTCGTTGCCAGGGCGTCCTCAGATATTTGTTGTACACAAGCGACCTGAATTATTTCTTTGCATGGTATCGAGTTCCCGCGTGATTGAAACGGAATCCAATTCAGGTTCTTCTATTTTGATACACCAAGAACAAGGCGTCTCTGAGTTGTCCCTCTTTTCATGACTGGAGTACTTCAAGTACTTCGATGTGGCATGGACGGGCCGGCAATAAAAACGGAGATGTGCTTTGGAGTAACGGGCTGGTCTTGAGGTCAATGCAGAAAATCTCAGGACCCCTGACATTGTCTCTGTAGCAGATACCGAGTTGGATTGTCCATTTTTCGTACCCAGCGGCTTCCCCTGGTTACGAACCTATAGCGTCTTGCCCGGAAGCACTGGATGCTTCCGCGAAGGATTCAGACCGCTCCAAGTGGAGGGTTTCCTGAAATGGACCTTGCTGGGTTGTCCTACTGCCAAGGCAAAAGCAAACCACTCACTGACTGACGTTTTTTTTTTGCCGGCCGTGCTTGACAAGTCATGATGTGGATGGTCTATGCCCTGGATCCCACGAATGTGTGGAGATCCACCCAAAGTTGCCGGATGAAACCGGGCGCGGCCCTGTTTGCAAGACGAAACATGCCCTTTTGGAGAGGGTTCTGGTCTGTTCGTTTCATAAGGATAGGGGGGACTCCTCGATGGTTGTGATGCTTTCAGAAAACGATTCGCCTGCAATCCTCCGATGTGTGGAGAAACACCCACGTGTTTTTGTTCACAGGTTGTGTTCGGATCAATTTGCAACGATTCACTGCCACTTTTGGAGGTCCAAAGGAAAGGAAGTTCAGGAACTTCTGCCAGACAGGGGACCCAACGGCAAGAGAGCTCCAAACAAGCGGACCCTAAGATGGGGTTGACTAGATTTCGGCAAATAGACTCGACGAAATTTGAGGACAGCATGGCACAGGTTTCCTTTTGGATTCTCGCCGCCAAAAGCGGACACGGACTTGGCGTGCTTGATTGGTGTAAGAATCCAAGCCCCCTGTTTCTAAACAGAAGTTCCCTGTTCAGCACTAAATCCTCGAGAGCCTGTACCACCAATACCCATAGGTTGGTACCCTCTGCGTGAGTATTCCGGATGTATGTGTTTTGAAAGCTGCGGAAAAAAAATCCCTCGACTCAGCCGTTTCAACTTTTTCATCGGACCAAACCGGGGCGTTTCCTCCGTGAAGAGCCGGCGATGTTTTTATCCAGGACGATCCCTTCCTGCGCACCTGGCAGGCCTTTCTTGTGTCGGGTTTTGGGGTTTTGGGGGAGGGGCAGTAGCCGTTGCGGGGGCAAAAGCACTAGTTGTTGTTTGTTTTTTGGATGTTTTTTTTGTTTTTTCCGCGTGGAGCCTCCAAGAAGACCACGCAAAGCATAAGAGGGAGGATTGGGGCACCCCGCCTGTTGGGTTCCATGTTCATTGCGGGAGTGAGAGTTTGTTTGGGGTGCCGGGCTGGAAATGCCTGACGGGCTTGCTTTCTGAAGAGTTTGGCCACACGAAGAGCTTGACCCGGCTTTGGAAAGCATGCCTCTTTTCATGTGAAGAGTTTGGGAAAAATGCTACCTGGCCCCTGTCACTGGCCCCGTTTCAAGAGGAGCTCCGAATGACATACGAAATGTAGAGATTCCTGGGTCGCTGTTTGTTTTCCTTAAAGGCGACTTGTTTTGCTGTCCCAGCTTTAGAGAGACAAATGGGCGTGTCTCTCTTTATGGGGCCCCTTCAATTCAACATGTGGTTGTCCTCTTGGCTTCCCTTGAAAGCCACCAAACAAAAGGCGTGACGACCGCCGGATTGACACCCAGGTGGTGGATTCCAGCGAGGTAGCGCCGTGGCTCGGCATGCGGTTCAGCCAGTGGTCTCGGTGTCAGGTGATTCAGTGCTCGCCCTGAGGCGGTGTGTGTGCGTGTGTCAATGTTTTAGGCCGTCTGACCTACCTGTTTAGCCCAGAAAGAGAGGTTTGCCCATGGGTGCGGGTCCCAAAAAAAAGGGTTTTGTTTTTTTCCTCGAAAACCGGCGCTTCCAAAGCAGCAAGGCAAAGTACTGCCTTAAGGGGATACATCAATGATCAGTGCACGCGAATCAACCTTACCTTTTGGTGCTCCCTGGTTTGGTCTGTTGATTTTGAAGTTTCCCCGTGCCAAGTATACAATTTAACATGCAACCCAAAATCGGGGTCTGTTGAAAGGAGATTCCTGGATGGCTTGTTGGGTTCCGCGAAAATTATGCAGAGTTACCAGCGAAAGTTCAAAAAAAGTGCACGCATCTTTGTCCAAGTCCATGGCACCCAAACTCATGGGCTCCAACCATGGCCTGCTTCACACTGACAGCTGATCCGGTGGAATGCCCCGAGGCCCGAATTTGCAGAGAACCTCGCACCCATCTACGAGGTAAAGCGAAAGGCCCCCATGGATCGAGGGGGTGGAATCCGTTTTACGGGATACCCCTTTGGGACTGTACAGGCAGCCAAAGGGACATGCTGGGTTTTCTTCATTTTTCGGAGTCGGTATACTTTGCAAGATGGTCAGATTGAAAACAAGGCAATTCCCCCAGCTCAAAGAGAGCTTGGAATTCTATTATTTGGCAACCCACTTTTGGTGGAGAAGACCAGGTAATATGTTCAGAGGACCCGCCCCCCCACCTTGAGGAGGGGATTCCGAAGCTTTGGTGCCCTTAGGATGTGATGCAAGGGGGGCCCATCAAAGCAGGAAGCGGGAGCAGGCACAGAATGCGTTTTCAGATCCCATTCAAGCCACGTCAGTATGTGAGGGGCGAACCAATTTGCTATAGCGTGACCTCTGGTTTTGCCCAACCCGCTTCCAGTTCTTCAGGCTGAACGGTGCTGCACTAAAAAAAGGCGTTGGCTCACTTGCCAAGTCGAACGAGGCCATATGATCAAGATTCATTGCGGGTTCCTGAGGTCAAATTGACATTTGCGGCTATAGCAATTGCTGCAGATTGGTTTGTCTTTGTCATTATTTACTATGGGGGAGCAGAAGGCGATTTGGCCGGGGACCCAAAAGGAATGGGCGGACCGCACCATTGCTCAAGAAAAGACACACTTGAAGGTACACCTCGTATTTGGGCTTGGGCGAGTTAACAAACCACATCGTTGAATCAGATATGTTTGTTCACGGTTAGGTGAGACGTGCTTATATGGCTCACTTGCTTGCGAAGATCATTCTGGTGGGAAACAACCAGTTCAGCTTGGCATTTGAAAGACCATCCACCGAGGAAGTGAGTTGTGCATTTGCATTCGTGTTTCCTTTTGCCTTTCAAAACACATCACTACGTGGTTTCTTTGTGGTTTTCGTCCCTTTGCCATCACAGCGGCATGCCGCCTGCCACTTTTTTGGCCAGGTACATCTCTAGCGGAAAAAAGGGCAGATTTGCTACTTCAGTGTTCCATCATCTGAAATCCAAGATTTGTCGGGGCCCTACTTGTACCGAACATCCACAAACTTGTGTCACTTTGTGTTTGTTCCGTGGGGAAGTCTTGGCATTTCATCGGCGCCAAAGAAGCTGCGATTGGGACCCTTTGGCCGGTTTCGGGGGGCCGACCTCACGGTCGGCCGCTGATGGCTGGGGGGGGGACGAGCTTTCAGGGCCGGCTCGCCTTTGGTTTCTTGACCTCCAGAGATCGTCTGGACCACGACTGTTTGGGAATGCGGGGGAGTGAGTCGGGGGTCTCCCCCGGGAAAACCTAAAGACAGTTTGGGAGTCAGAGCTGAGCCTACTCAAGTAGTCTCTCGGCAAGCACTGCTTGGTACTGATTTAGATCTGGTTTCGTATTTGTTTGAGCTGGTCATCTGTTCACGGGGAATCATTTTGGGACAACTTTTCTGACTTGCCTCCCCATTTTCTAATCACTACCCGACCTTTTTCTAGAGACAAAGCCCTGAAGACTCTAAGAACGTGAGCAGGGATCATAGGATCGGGCAGAGTTTGGCATACGGTTGCCTTGGAAATCCCAGCCAAACGGTTCCCCCCCCCCCCCGAAAAAAGAAGAGAAAAAACAAGCACAGAACGGGTGCTTGAAACCCGTTGGCCCCAAGAGGACCCGTCCGGGCGCCAAACGCTTCCCCGCTTCCCCTTCGCCAAGCGCTCCCTTGGCAGGTCTTCCGGGACCCGGACAACCGGCACGTGGAGGTGCCCAGACCGCCTCCTGGGCTCGAGACGGTGCTGGTCTTTGCCCGAGACCCGGGACCCAAACACGGGGAGAGCGGGGGGGGAGAGGGGAGGGGGAGGGGGGGAGATTCAAAAGCTCAAGCCCCCCCAAAAGGGGTGGTTCAGCATGGGCTAGTTCTTTTGAAGTTTGGAATTTGGAAGGCCCAAGATGTGTAGGGGAACGAGTGCAAGGCAACTTCCCTTGGTCAGCAATCTGTTCGCAGCGAATGTTCAGATTTCAATCCGTTGACCCCCCCTTACCATCATTCTTTTGTGAAGGTCTCCAGTGTCAGCATTTTGGCCGTTTGGTTTTATGTCATGGCCGAAAGGATATTCTACTCCTAACCTGGAACCCACCACAAATTCCCAGAATTGAAGTTCCAGGGGCCTGCTCTCGTCAGATTCGATGTAGGAACTGATTGTTCATCTCGTTTGGTTGCAGGTGAAGAACATAATCTTGGGTGCAGACACTGTTCTTTGGTTTGCAGTTATGTGCTACTGCTGCGTGGCGTGGATTTGTTGTGTTGATGTTTCTGCATTCATTTGCGCAATCTTCAGGTGAGCTCACCTGGGTGTATCACGAGCCCACCTGGGTGGAACACAATCTCACCCATGATGAAGGCCATTCACTACTGGTTAGTGCCGCGTTAGTGCGCTCAGGCATGACAAGTTTCGAGTGGGTGGAAGTTGGATGCTTGGGCAACTTGGGCCCCCCTACAACTCCCAAACCCATCATGTTGCCCTTCGGAGCCCAGAAAACCTTGGCGAACTCCAGAGGGGGCTTGCCTCCTATGTTTCGGTCGCTCCCACTTGCGACGGTCTCGTTAGCAGGTCGTTCCGGACTTCCATGCCGAAATGTACGGTGAGGCGCCGCAGCGTGGCAAGGGGACGGCGTATTTCTTTTGACTTCCTTTGTAAAATCAAACAAGTGGAGTGAAGCGATCGCAGGAAGCTGATGAAAAAGCTTGACTTGAGATGTTCATCATTCCTGTGGGAGATCGGGAGAACCACTTCCGGGTTTTTTGCTGGCCAATGTCTTGCGAAGATGTATCCTTGGAAACATGGTAGGATGATGGCTCATGTTCAAGCCAGAGGGGCCTCAGGTGGTCGGGTGGGGGCCGGGCTCCAGAGGGACAATTGCCCTAGCGTCTGGAGCAGACCAAGGGTAGATATTTTGTAGTGGGTTACCGGCAAATGGCCCGGCAACCCTGAGCCATGCTCAAGGATTTCCGGGCCTGTCGAATTGCGAGAGATTTGCGAACGCTTTGGGGCCTTGAGATTCATTCCTTTCTTCAGGGTCCATTTGGTATTTCCATGGCCTGGCGGACCGTAGGACTCTTGTTTCCGCGCAATTGAGATCCAGTGGGCAAACCGCCCAAGTTCTGCAAAGGGAGCCCGATGCAGCCTTGCTGACTTTAGTCCGGAGGACCAGAGCAGAGCAATCCCCCATCTCTTTCACTCGGGTTCCTCGGTCTTCGCCTCCATAGCAATTTTTCATTGGGACCGGTGAATTGATCAGCCCTTCGGGTCGCGATTGCTTTTGCCGTTCTCGCATTGGATTGTCTTCAATGAGCTCTGACAGGTCTTGTGGTTTGAGGGCTCTTCGTTGGGAGCGCCCTTGAGGATGTGTGAGGGCGTGCCTTAAGAAAGGGGGAAAGCCCCAAAAATGGGTCGCCGTCCAGTCGGTTGGCTTTGATGACAATTCCCCAAAAGGGTAGCTGCAAAGACGGGTACACACAAACATGTTATATTAATGATACATTGACACACATACATCATCAGGAGCGCCCTTGTTGGTGGCAGTGACCAACCACCGCAAAGGGGGATCCCATTGGGTACACTCACCTGAGTACCATGAGGAAATGGGAGCCTCCACCGAAACTATTGACTGGAGCGCAGCCATTTGCAAGTCCATCTTTTGTTTGCTCGGGCGACGTTTCAGGGTGACATCTCCAGAGTCCACAGGTACCCATCACCGCAAACCGTCTCCTTTTGGCGGGCCCCCTTGGGTCGTTTGTTATGGCCGCTTTGCTGCAAAGGGGAACTTTAGTCTTGAATATTTTTAACCCGCAAACGTCACTCAACTCTGGGGGTGGTCAGTCACCCTCAGGAGCAGCTGAGTGAAGAGGAGCTTCGGGAAAAGCGCAAGCCCCAGACCTTGGACGGGGACGAAGCGACCAATGTGGACCTGTGGGGTGTATGTGCTGTTGTGGTTGTTGTGGTTGTTGTGGTTGTTGTGGTTGTGTGTTTGTTTGTTTGTTTGTTTGTTTGTTTGGTTGTTTGTTTGTTTGTTTGTTTGTTTGTTTCCCTGTGTTTTTCGGTTACCAAAACTATTATTATGTTTGTTATTCCTATTATTATTGTTATTATTATTATTGGTAGTAGTAGTAGTAGTAGTAGTAGTAGTAGTAGTACTAGTACTAGTACTAGTACTAGTAGTAGTAGTAGTAGTAGTAGTATTAATAGTTTGATGGTTCTTGTTGTTGTTGCTATTATTGTTTTCGGAAGACAAACCCATGTGTTTTAAGTTTGGGAGGATGGCCTTTGGGAGGGATGCCTTTTCGTTTGAAAGGACAGCGAACAGGAAGCCGATCATTTGGAGGGACTCCAGTTTTGAGACACACCCAATTGGGAGGGGCCACAGATTTTGGCCATGACTCATGTGCGTGCTCTCCAAGAATGGGTTATGAACCCCTGGACATAGCTGGTTTCCCTCAAACAAAGAAGTCGTTTGGGGGCCAGGAATATTGATCGACCCCTCCGCCCATATTTGCCCATCCGATATGCATGCTTCGTGTTTGCAACCACCCTGCGGGAGCCACTCATTTGCAACTTCCCCCGTGAAAAGAGGCATAAGGGCTGTAGAATATGTTGTGGTTGTTCAGACCTCGAACTTACACCTGGGTGAACCGAGATGGCACAAGTCACCCATGTAAATTTGATCCTTTCCTATTACTTGCCAACATATTGGAAGCTGCGCCAAATATTTTCACTCAATTCTGTCATACTGCTTGCGGAATGACGATCCAAGAGCTGTCAGAGCATTCCAGCATGGCATCAGTCGCTTTGCGTTGGCTGCATTCAAACTGCCACTGAGGGAGCGAGCAGATGCTGCCTTGAGGACGCATGGAATGGATTCAGTTGGTGCGCAAGACAAGTTGCACCCTGCCAGTTGTCATTCCCACAGGCGAATCTGTGTGTTTATGCGTTTTTCCCAATACAGTGAGAATAGGTATGGACCCAGTTGAATTTGTGAGCTTTCTAAGTTTGCCCAGCCTAGCTGACAATACCCGATACAAAAGTTGTCTATATGTCCAAATCACCATTCTTTTCAGCCAACCAGGTGCCTATGCGAAAGAGATGCGCCAATTGATTAACCGATCTACACTGAGCCAAGGATGGGATGTCAACAGCCCTTTTGCGTCAGAACTGAGAGTCACCCGAGCCCTCAACATGCTGAACATGTGAACATAACCACATATATAGGTGTTTTTGTTGTTACTTCTTGGACCTTCGAGCTACCCGTGAGCTACCCTAAACAAGAAAGTACCCCTGTAGCCATCCAACATCTTGATGTCTTTCTTGGCTCTAATTAGCTGCATGAAGCTCTACCCAAATCGCCGGGCAATTGTTGGCATTGCCTTCTTCAAACGCAAAGGCCACAATGTTCTTGGGTGAACCTTGGTTCCTGAGTTCACAGGAGTGAATGTCGAGGCTCAAAGACCAAGCGATCCATCGTCCGGCGTCTGATGTTCGGTGTTGTTCGTGCTGCTTTCATATTTTCTGAGGAAGCTGGCGAGCTTGTTTCAGGTTCTTCCCGTGAGGTGTTACCATTATGTCGATGGGGTGTCTCACTTGGAAAACATGGGCGGACATCGGAAAGCTTTTAGGAGAAACATGAAAAGCCATGGGAAACACACCAGCGATCATTGCGAATCAGTTTGGGAGGAGTCAATTGCATTCCCTTTCCCTTTTTGATAGGGCTTCTATGTTTCGCAACAAGGTGCAACCTTGTTGGTCTTTTGGTTGTCAATGACGTTGGCCCCCCAACATGCTTCACGCTTCAGAAGGGGGCTTCCCCGGATTTTCCACCAATCCGGAAGCCAAGACTGCGTATTTCGCCCGGGAAACCCCATCGCTTTACAAGAGGTTCACATGGACCAAAATCCCAACGGCGCCTGACAGAAGGCCCCCCCCAACACCACCCCCTCGCCCCCTCCCCCAGTCCCAGAGGCAAAAAGACAAACGAATCCGCGCCAGGAGAGCAGGCAAAGCCGCCAGCTCTTCCACGGCCAAGCCGGTCTGGGCCCCAAGGGGCCTCAAAAATGGGGCAGGATTTGATGGGTTCCATGTTTGGAGGTCCAAAAAGACCAGACTGGAAGTTGATCGAAATGTTGTATGGTTGACCCCCTAAAATTTCACCTGGACATGGCTGGAATGTCACTTTGGACCAGCCACGTTTCGCCCAAAGCGAGTTGGGACTCGCAACAGAAACCTCCCGCCTTGACCTCATGTTCGCCTTATCGGACTTCCAGTCGGCGGTTGTTTGGGCCAACCACGGAAAGTTCCAGGTTCCAAACAGGACGCTGGTTGAATGCACCGAAATCGTTTGTTTCCACGGCAAAAAAGGACTTGGACAAATACATGAAAGCCCCTCGAAGAGTCAAGATTGCTTTTGGGCACGTTAAATCTCCAAAGGGTGTTTGTGAGAGTCCAGCTAATTTGACTGGCCTGGACCGCAACACTGAAGAAGAGAAATCGCTTTCAGAGACTGAATTTAGAGTAAAGTTTGGGCACTCTTGCCGCAAGGATAGTTATATTTGCTTGATGTCCAAGTTGTGAACCAAATACATGTCCAAGCTGCGTGCAGGTTGCTGTATGCTCAAGTTGTTTTGTGTTCAAGTTGCGTTTTGTGCAGAGTGACTGCTTCGTAGAATAGAACACCCTCGAGCCTGAAGCACATGTCAAGTGACGTTGGCGTAAATGACAACCTTGCAACATGCACTAGAAAATGCAAACCCTGACACTTAATCGTGCTCAGGACTTGTGCTGGACGTTCCTCAAGATGTGTGCCGTCAATGTGCGCTTTTTGGGGGTTGTTAAACAAATCGGATTGGCCAAACCACCTGTGTACCCCTTTTGTTTGTTGTGGTTTTCTGGAAAGAAGGACCGTTGTGAAGAGTGGGGAAGTTACCTGTAGAGCAGTGCGTTAGCTCCATGAAAAGCTAGGGTTTGGGGTCGGATAGTTTACATTGTCCGGCCGAGTATAGTCACATGATGCCCAGCCGAGTGGCACAAATATTATCCTTGCTTGCGGGTAGCCAAACAAACAAGCAGCCAACCAACCCACCAAGTAAGCAAGGCAAACGAAGAACTTCAACACCCACATAGGATGCCTTTCGTATCCAATGGCCACTGGGACAGTTGAGAGTGGTGCCAGGTTTGATTTGGGAGAAGGCTCTAGGGGCCGCCTTGCCCAAAGCGACCCAATTTCCTGTCTAGAACTATTTGCTTCTGATGGCTCCTGGATTTTACGGACATGTTCAGACACGCCTCTTTCGTAAGTCTTGTAGAAGAGCCTTACTCGGCCACGGAGTGTGGGAGCAATACAAGAGGCCCTCAAGTGTGGAATGCAAACCTTTGTGTACTTACAAGTTCCCTCGATGGATTGTCATTATAAGATGAATTTAGGAAGATCCATCTGGCCTTGTCCCCTTTTTCAGTAAGAGTCAGTAAGAGCGATTGGTAAGCATGAGCGACTGGGCAAGATGGGCAGATGAAATTGCTGATAAGAGCGTTGCCTGTAGAAAGCCTTAGAAATGCCGAAAAGGAAAAACCAAGAAAAAGCGAAAAACATACTCACCCTT